AGGAGGTTGAAATAGTCAACCCCAGTTTAAAACATGTAGCCTATAGACACAAACATACGTCACAGTTTATAATGATTGCTTTTGGCAGGAAATACAATTACCTCTAAATGCTCAAGGGAATGGAAAAAGGGTTTGTAAAATTTATGAGCATTTGATGCGTCATTCTCTAGGATATGTGTTGCTATTTTACCTGGATAGAATACCGCATGAGATAAAATGAGGTTTATTTTTAACACCTGCTACACTAAATGTAAATGTAAATGTAGAGATCAACTAAACACTACTGCCATAGCAACAACACCATGAGCACTCTAAACCCCCTGACTGCAGCTGTGTGTGTATATGTGTGTGCCTGCGTGAGTGTGAGAGAGAAGAACTCATTAAACAATTATCCCACTCATTAAACAATTATCCCACTCAGCCCCTCAGTGGGATAGATGGTTGTTGTGGATGTTTTGCTGTAGCATTTTCTTTCATAACCTCAGCCCAGTGAAACACAGGCAGGAGGACTGGGAAGCTGTGTCCTTTAATGATACCCTGACTGCCATGTGCTGTGCTGCACGTGGAGGAGGCGAGGAGACCGTGCTGCAGGTGATCTTAGAGAGAGAACAGGGACATGCGGTGCCAGTTACCTCATGCAGCTGGGACTGCATGTGGTGAAACGGTCTGGGGAAATGGACAACCATAAAATAACGTTGTATGTATTCAATACCTCAATTGAGTGAATAAAGAAGAGAAAATGTGTATTCTGCCCAAACACAAATATGGGTTGTTGTTGAATTGCGGTGGCATTTGTGTCCCTCTCTTTTGCAACCCTGAAAAACACTTTAGAATTTCAAATAGTTACATATCATACATGTTTTTGTTCATATTGAACTGTTGATGATAAAACATAATGCAAGTCCTTTATAGTGCACAACTTTATGTTTATGCATTGTTTAAAGTTCTGAAGGTAAGCAAATTGGCTTGTCCCCGTAGATATCTATTATTTTGAATGCAAAAAATGTAATATATTGTAGATCAATAAAAACAAAGAAGCCTATTACACTACTTTTTTTCTTCTTTTTACAAATATAATATGTATCTAATTCTGATGTCATTGGTGTTAATGAGTAAATTTATTGTAATGGGTTAATGACCTTAGATTTGAGCACCTGTGTCCTCATCATTGGTGTTAACCCTCCTACTGGTGACACGATGCTATCATAATTGTAAAAACAAAAAAATTAAGTCATTAAGCTGCCATATTAGTTCATTTAGCATGGGAAGATGGACCCAAATGCATTTTTAAAAAATAATTTCCCCCAAAATGCAATGCCCAAATGCCACCACAATCCATGAACGACCCATTCACATTAAAAATAATAAAAGGGGATGGAAGAAATTGTTTAAAATAAAATATATAAATGTCATATATCAAAGTATCAATTCAATTACATTGCAGTCACTGACAATCAAAACAATAACTATGTCAATGGCATTCCACAAATCCAAACAAATCTTGCTGAACAAATTATGCAACGAAATAGGCATAGCCTTGATTAGAGGGGATTACATTGGGCCAGCCCAATGCACCGGTAGCTAAGCCTTCACTTCCTCCCAGAGAAGAGAGAGAGCAGGACTCGAGAGACGATGACGATGGAGAGAGAGAAGAGAGAGAGAACGAGAGAGAGAGAGAGGAGAGTATGAGAGGAGAGAGATAGAGAAGAGAGATATATAGATAGAGTACTCTCTCGCTCTCTCCTCTCTCTTCTCTCTCCTCTCTAAGAGCTCCTTGCCCCCCTTCCTCTATATATAGAATTCTATGAGAGAGAGAGAGATTGTATTCTGGAAGTACAGTATCTGCCGGTGAGGGTATCTAACTGGGCTGGTGGTGGTGGTAGAACGTTTTTAATGTAAAATCTGTCATTTTATTTGACAATGGGAAAAATAGCTAATGCGTATATACCGAATACCGGAGTGCAGGTTTGATTGAACTAAGCCCTTAGAGGAAGTATAGCTGTCTTCAGCCTCAAGCCTCTGTCAGCCCAGCTACCAGAGCTGACAGTCACGTGTAGCCACTGAAGGCATATCCCAACCCTGGCTAATCACCTCATCAAGTGGTAACATCACGTGTAGCCACTGAAGGCATATTCCAACCCTGATTAATCACCTCATCAAGTGGTCACGGCTGTCAATTTGAGGCCAAAGAGGCGCAAAACCAACATGACTGTTGTTCTCAAGTAGCCCTGTTTGCCTCTTAAGCTCAACAACAAGCCCCTAGTTATAAACATTATATGTTCCTTCAGGGGGAGATGGTGATTGCATCTCTCACGGAACAAAACAACTGAGAGATTGTCCAGGAACAGCTTTCTCTTGTGTTAGAGTAGAGGAGGGCTCCTTGTTTGAGATTGTGTTTGACAAGAACAAGTGATTTCTTGATACCATGGAGAAGATTGTTTCTTCGAATTGACAATTGCGCATTCAAGGGTGAAAATAGAAACAATGTCTCTTGGGGCTCTTGGAGCTGTTTTGAATACTTAGAGAGTGAAAGGTTTGCATGCATATACAGTACAATATGTAATCCACACAACATATTAGGTGATGAACCTTGCATAAAGTGTTAGGGAAGGGCAAATTAGTTAGTATTGTATTATCACTGTTTTACCCAAACAGGTATGCCAAGCGAACAACTTTCCTGTCTGATGCTCCAGATTGGTTTTTAATTCTAGATAAGTGGCACCTGGAACTTTTCCCTAATACCCCTAATAGCTAGAAAAAAGGGCTCCAAAAGGGTTTTTCGACTGTCCCCATAGGAGAACCCTTTTTGGTTCCAGGTATAACTTTTTTGGGTTCCATGTAGAACCCTCTGTGGAAAGGGTTCTACCTGGAACCAAAAATGGTTTATTCAAAGGGATATCTTATTGGGACAGCCGAACAACCCTTTTAGGTTCTAGATAGCACCTTTTTTTCTAAGAGTGTAGGCATAAACATCCTACATTATCCTGATAATGTCAAAGGCCTGTTCTGTGTTTGTGGTCTCCAAATACCAGTAAATTATATGGTTAATAACCCCAACTGTATTACTGTATTACATCTTATAACATTACTAGTCATGATGACTCATGAGATACTGTGTAAATACTCATTACTTAACTGTGATGAATGTGGTGAAACGCACATGACAGTTAGTTTCTTCCTTCGGGGAAACCTATGAACTACTCTCCTTAACCAGAATCTCAGGTTAGCCCTGGATTATTGTGCTACGGGGATTAAATGGTTCTTATAGCGGAGGTTTGGGCTTTCCTTCACCTCTCTGACTTCTGCATGCATACTGACAAGAGGAGACCCTGAGGGCCTTTTCTGCTTTTGCCTTTGTCAGAGTTTGTGTGCCCTGTTATAAAACTGTTATACATTGTTATACAGTATATAAGATGAAAATAACCCTGAGTATTTCACAAGACGTGAGCAATAGACTTCCTCAACGGGGAACACTGTGTTCCTTCCTATGATGGATGGATTGTGTCATAGACTAGACAGGTCATACAAAATGTGAGACTTAATGAGTTTACCTTACCCACATCTGTGTCATATAACCTTAAAACAAAACATGCTGTCTTAAAAGATAAAGGATTTATCTTCCCTGTGCTTGTTAATGTCCGCATTTCTATTTTCCTTGTTATGTTTAAGATTAAGATTGGCAGAGCATTAAGATTGGCAGAGCAGGAACATCATAAGTGTGTGCAATTTTGGGAGATGTGAGTCATCATAAAAGCTGAGAAATATAAAATGTATATGAGTATAAGAATGACAAAAGCTTTTTTGAACCACAACCAAATAGATTGCACAAATTCTTCAACAGATAATTTATAGTATACAAATAGCCTGCTGCCTACAGGTAGCTTAGTGGTTAAGAGCGTTGTGCCAGTAACCGAAAGGTCGCTGGTTCTAATCCCCGAGCCGACTAGGTGAAAAATCTGTCGATGTGCACTTGAGCAAGGCACTTAACCCTAATTGCTCCTGTAAGTCGCTCTGGATAAGAGCGTCTGCTAAATGACCAATTTATTTTATTATTTTTTATTATTACATTTCAGATGTACTGTATATCATTTTGGACATAATTTTCTTTATCTAAAGCAATAACCTTCTGCTGTTTTCTGTGTCTTGTAAATCACTGCAATATATTTTGGCGGTCATCTCAAACAAATGTAAGGGTAATTCTAGCTCTGTTTCTTATGTAAAGGATTACATAAAACAATGCACCCCCCTCCTCCTCCTCTCTCAGAACAGTGATATAACCAGTGCAATTCTAATGAAGATGAAACAACAGTCTAGGTCTAGGTGGTCTATTACCATACCTCTCTCTAGTCAGATATATTGATCTAAAACGTAGTGTTACAACGACAAATGTCCAGTTGTTACATGAACTGAGTGCCCAGCGATCCACACTGATGGTACGTGGATTTATACAATGTTGATATGTTATATAAGTGAGCCATTTAATGGACCAATAACTTTTCACAGATACCATCACGTGCTTCCCTGCGCTTTGTTCGGCGAATCATCATCGTTGAATTTGAAGTCGCTAACAGAACAACAGTATGGCGTACAGCGAGGACCAGATACTTTCCTTTTAATTGTATTTAGGCATGAATCGTTTTGACCGAACAAGAAAAGTTTGAATGTCAAGACCCGGGCAGAGGAACTAAGCTTTCCAACTACAGTGAGCGCGAGAAGTTAGGGAAATGAATGAGGTTGCTTCAGGTCTTACATAAAAACATGTAACGTGAAATTGCACTCGGACCTTTGCTCTACAGAACGTTACTCCCAGGAAACCGTCATTTTGCCTTTAAGGTCTTTTAAAGTCTGAAACCCTCCGATGAAGGGTTTGAGTTGCCAACAATGTTTTGCTAACTAGAAGTACAGACCTCCTAACGTTACTTGCTGTCATTTGGAGAGGCGGACCGTCGTTGTCAGCCAAACAAGAGGAGAGAATGTCTACTTCCTCAGTCGTGAATGACTGGTTTATTCAGCAAAGCTAGGTAGGTAATACACGGGAAATGGGCATTACAGTGCTGTAATACAGAATCCGAATATATAGCGGTTTTTAAAAAAAAATGGGAAGTCTACATACAAACTATTTTGACATTTTAGCGGTCACCAGTTTGGTACGTGTTCTATTCGGTCACCAGCTTGGTGCGTATTCTATTCGGCTCTCGCGGAATAAGGCCTAACCAGATCCTCTTAGAAAACGACACGAGTCTTTCACGATGGCACATGTAACGTTATAGTCTGAAGTCTTTTTGTGAGAAGGATTGTTTTTGTCCAAATATATCAGTTAACTTTTGAACACAGTTTGCTATATGTAATATTCCGAGATTAATATGGATACGGTAATCCTAGCTCACCAGTCGGCGCAGTTTGTCCACCCGGTATACAACCCTGGAGCAGCGGGTATATGCCCTGAAATGCTCGAGGTGGCAGAGGAAGCAAACCGGGCAGGTGACTACGACCTTGCCGCGGAGATCTATAGTTCTCAGCTGGCGGACCTCCAGCAACCAGACCGGGGCCTCTGTTTGCGCAAAGCCGACGCTTTGGCCCAGACCGGGCGGATAGCGGAGGCGCTTGACTCATACTGCATCGCGGCCAACATTTGCGAACTTCGGCCAGGCGAATTACAGCTTCTGGTTGAAAACATAGCACGGACTCTTAGGGAGAAGGAGCTAAACATTAATGCGAAGTCAACGAGTTGTCATAATAGGGGGAATGGAAACGATGGGGTTGAGGCCGATGGGGCGTTTGAGGAAGAACCCCTGGACTTGTTTTCATGCCGCCTTTGTAGGTGTTTACTGTCAGAACCAACCACCTTGGAGTGCGGCCATACGTTTTGCAAACATTGTTTAGAAGAAGAAACTGTCAAAGACTGCATACAATGCAAACATAAACTGAACAAAAAAGACGGACAGATCCTGACCATTGGGTTTAGAGTAAATGTCATCCTCAGTAGTTTGTTGGATAAATGTTTCGACGCTGAAAGTAAAGCCAGGAGGCATTGGATAGAAGGTGAGGTCTCACGAAAGAAGCACGACTACACTGATGCCTTGGAGAAGTACAACAAAGCCGTAGAACTGGGTAAGATAATGTAACATTTTCAGTAAGTTTGAATAAGCAATTGTCGAATTCATATGTTTTAGAACAGATTGTGTTTTTTATGTTTCCCTTTTACCGATTTATAACCAAATATCTGGGACACTAGATGACCTACTTTTCACTACTCCGCATTGTCACCGATAGGGGGCGACACTGTACCCTTTCAGCTCTCGAAGCAATCATTTCATAAGCCCAGTAGCCCCACCCGCCTTTATTACCAAACCCACAATTCTGCCCTGAGTCACATACCCCATGGATTGATTTAATAATGCTCGCATAATGGTTATGCTGTTACATTCAAATGGACTGGACTCCATTTAGTCTTTTCCTCACTGGCTATGTAGAATAAGTAGGCCTTTTATTGGGGCATATTACATTATTGGATGTAAGCATGTTGGCATTTATTGTCATGACTCTTGACCTGGAGGCATCTCTGCAGAGTGGTCACTAGCTAGCACAGCCACTAAGTCATACAATCTGATTTTAACACTAACCTTAACCACACTGCTAACCCTAATACCTAACCTTAAATTAAAGCTGCAATATGTGAGTTATATATCTGTCATTCTCATTGACAGCAAGTCTAAGAAGCATTAGATCTGTTCTATTTGCGCTATTTCTATGCTTCCCGTTAAGTTAGCTTTTTGCGTCTTTTACTTTCAATTTTGTACACCACCTTAAAATACAATCTTTTTGGTTATTGAAAATATATTTCTAAACAGTTTAGATGGTACAATGATTATCTTGCCAGTTTTGTCACATAAACTGAAATTAGGCAAACGATTATAATTTTAGCAACCAGGAAATAGCGGTGCGATTTCTACATATTGTACCTTTTTAAGGCCAAAAAAACCCTGACAGGTGTGGCATATCAAGGAGCTGATTAAACAGCATGATCCTTACACAGGTACACCTTGTGCTGGGGACAATAAAAAGCCACTCTAAAATGTGCAGTTTTGTCACACAACACAATGCCACAGATGTCTCAAGTTTTGAGGGTGTGTGCAATTGGCATGCTGACTGCAGGAATTTCCACCAGAGCTGTTGCCTGATAATTTAATGTTAATTTATCGACCATAAGCCAATTCAATGTCATTTTAGAGAATTTGGCAGGACGTCCAACCGGCCTCACAACCGCAGACCACGTGTAACCACTCCAGCCCAGGACCGCCACATCCGTCTTCTTCACCTGCAGAAAACGTCTGAGACCAGCAACCCGTACAGCTGATGAAACTGTGGGTTTGCACAACAAAATATTTTCTGCACAAACTGTCAGAAACCGTCTCAGGGAAGATCATCTGCGTGCTCGTCACCCTCACCAGGGTCGTGACCGACTTCAGTTGGCAGATGCTCACATTCGATGGCCACTGGCACGCTGGAGAAGTGTGCTCTTCACGGATGAACACCTGTTTCAACTGTACCGGGCAGATGGCATGTGGGTGGGCGGTTTGCTGTTGTCAACGTTGTGAACAGAGTGCCCCATGGTGGCAGTGGGGTTATGGTATGGGCAGGCATAAGCTACGGACAACGAACACAATTGCATTTTATCGATGGCAAGTTGAATGCACAGAGATACTGTGACGAGATCCTGAGGCCCATTGTCGTGCCATTCATCTGCCCCCATCACCTCATGTTTCAGCATGATAATGCATGGCCCCAAGTCACAAGGATCTGTACACAATTCTTGGAAGCTGAAAATGGCCCAGTTCTTCCATGGCCTGCATACTCATTAGACATGTAACCCATTGAGGATATTTGGGATGCTCTGGATCGATGTGTATGACAGCGTGCTCCAGTTCCCGTTAATATCCAGCAACTTCGTACAGCCATTGAAGAGGAATGGGACAACATTCCACAGGCCACAATCAACAGCCGGATCAACTCTGTGAAGGAGATGTGTCAAGCTGCATGAGGCAAATGGTGGTCACACCAGATACTGATTGGTTTTCTTATCAACGCCCCTACCTTTTTTTGAAGGTATCTGTGACCAACCGATGCATATTTGTATTCCCAGTCATGTGAAATCCATATATTTAGGGCCTAATGAATTTATTTCAATTGATATATTTCCTTACACTGTATGAACTGTAACTCAGTAAAATCGTAGAAATTGTTGCATGTTGTGTTTATATATTTTTCCAGTGTATATTATTTTTTGGGACAGGTCGAAACACATGAAACATTCATGGACATTTAGCTAGCTAGCTTGCTGTTGGTAGCTAATTTGTCTTGGGATATAAACATTGGGTTGTTATTTTACCTGAAATGCACAAGGTCCTTTTTTTTCTGGATCTTTGTAGAATTGTGATCCATTTTGAGTCACACAAAATGGTGTGTTCTCTACTCCAACAATTAATCCTCAGATAAAAGGGGAAACCTAGTTAGTTTCTAGTAATCGCTCATCCTTCAGTCTTATTCTTCTGTGGACTTTATATGGCGGTTGGCAACCAACTTTGACTGGAATGTGGACCTCAGTTCATCTTTCAATCCCCCACGTGGGTATATGCTCCAAAAAAACAATGAGGAGATGGGAGAGGCGGGACTTGCAGGCCATCAAGCGTCAAAAATAGAACGAAGTTTTATTTTTGCGCCTGGCTACGCAGACGCTCGCAGTTTGGATGAAATGATTGAATAACATGTATGTGTAAATTTACTTTGCAATGCTCGCAGTGTGGTCATTATGTTACACTAGCCTGGGTGACGCGTGACCCACGTGACTACACAGCCAGCTGCAAGGACGTAGAGAGGCTGGTTTTAGCAAGACTACAGTTACTCTCCATTAGCGTCCTTATTACACCAGGTCAAATAAAGTTATTTGGTTACCAGGTGATCCAGCATATGATTTCTAAGATGATATAACGCTGCTACAGAAAGATACCTGTATTTTAAACATTAATTTAGTTATGTATTTATTTCTGATATTAAATTTAACAGTATTTAAAATGAAGTTCAAGTCCATTAGTATATTGGTGTTTGGTAATTGCAGCATATAATTTGCTCCAAACACAATCAAAATGTCGGCCTATAACTTTTTGCTCAATTATATATTTTTATAATTTTTAGGGGGGTAGATTATGCTAAATTATATTGAACTTTATTACAACACATACTAATTGCGAGGTGAAGTCAATTGCCAAAACACTGCAACCTCGTCCATCCATTTAGGTTGGTGGCTTTCACGACGTTTGATGCTTCTCCTTTGACTGATCACAGGCTGCTAGCGAGTCTACTTTTGAAACACCGGGTCAGCCCTGAGCAGTTCACTCCCTATAGATGGCCAGGAGTTGTTTTCCCCAACCTTGTGACCTGAGTTTTACCAGGATAAACTTGGGCCCGTAATTAGCCTAACTCCCTAGAAAAAACTCTTGTCCTGACCCTTACTACAGAGAGAGCATTGAGGCACAGTCAGGAATGAGAGTGAGCCAGCGTCAGAGGCCCTTTGGTGCTTCAGTAGAGGCCGACCCAACAGCATAGCACAGCAGCTCTGACTGACCCCATTCTTTCTGCTTTAATGTCAGCTACTGACCTGCTTATGTAAGTCAGGAGGGGAGGGGAGGAGGGGGGCAGGCATACTGCTTTTACCCACAGAGGCAGAGGCGTCATATCATCCACTGAGCCAAAGATTCATAAACTTTTACATGTTAATTATTATTTAAAAAATTGTATACAAAATAAGAAAACAAACATGTATTTACCCCCTTTTTCTCCTCAATTTTGTGGTATCCAATTGCGTTACAATTACGATCTTGTCTCATCGCTGCAACTCCCCAACGGCTCGGGAGAGGCTAAGGTCGAGTCATGTGTCCTCCGAAACATGACCCGCCAAACCGCGCTTCTTAACACACGCCCGCTTAACCCGGAAGCCAGCCGCACCAATGTGTCAGAGGAAATGTGTTCAACTGACGACCGAAGTCAGCCTGTAGGGGCCCGGCCCCCCACAAGGAGTCGCTAGAGCGCGATGTGCCAAGTAAAGCCCCCCCGGCCAAACCCGGACGAAGCTGGGCCAATTGTGTGACGTCCTATGGGACTCCGGGTCACGGCCGGTTGTGACACAACCTGGGATCGAACCCGGGTCTGTAGTGACGCCTCTTGTCCTGACCCTTAGACCGCTGCGCCGCAAGGGAGGCCCCAACTTTTAAATTTGAGTCATTTACCAGACTCTCTTATCCAGAGCAACTTATAGTAGTTAGTGCAAACGCCATGCTCTACCAGCTGAGCCACACAGGACAGAATCATTCATCAGAATGTTGACCCCCTCGTCTCTCCCCTCCCCTTCTCACTAGCCAGAAGGGTGTTGTATGTTATTGTAGACCTAATTCCCGGCACAGACTGTGCATGGTCGATTATGGTGCAGTATTTTGATTCAAGGGAAATGCTCTGGTTTGGTCCAGTTTTCCCTACTCATAGGGTTTGGGGTGAATAACATCCAACGTCGCATTACATTTTTGCAGAAAATACACCTTTTAAAGAAGTTGGCATATTATTGCATAGTAACTGATACGGATCTTTGTGATCTTGTGTACACTGACAACATTGTACCTGTGTGGAAAGGTGTAAATGTCATTTTCTCATTCTTCCTGTGTTCTCTCTCGGTTCTACAGCGCCATCTATAGGTCGGCTACTGGGACAGCGTGCTGAGCTGCACATGGACAGTAGGAATTACAGCCAGGCCATCCAGGATGCAGAGAGCATGTGCAGACTCAAACCTCTCTGGCCAAAGGTGTGAGATATGGATATGTAACTCAATCTACCCAGCAGAGTATAGACCTAGACCATCAGATGGTCTCTGTATATCTGGGCCTAAATATTAATCTATTAATGACAGCAGCTGATAGACACGCAAAATAGATCAGATAGAACTGAAATCAGGCACTAGTGTCAATAGGGAAGAGCTTATGTTGACCAGGTTGAAGAGCCCCTGGAATTATAACCCAGGGTGTTATGACAAGAATTACCTTAGATTCCCATGTTTCCCCTGTTTTTAGAAGGTTATCTCTCTTAGGCCGCTTACTGTAACAATATTCAGATTATAGATTGTTATTATCAGTGTTTTGAATATACTTTATAGAGGTATAATTGAAATGCCATCAGAGTAGTCCCAACTCAACACACCCTCTGGTCTGTGTGATTTCCTAGGCCCACTACATCAAGGCCTCAGCCCTGAGTAAAGCCAACTGCAACGATGAGGCCTTAAAGGAGTACTTCATGTGTGTGGCGCTCAAGCCTGATTGGACGACGGTGAAGCTCGAAGCTCAGAAGGTAATACACAAGTAAAAAAATTATAATAATAACGTTTCAAAAGCTTTTGTCCATTTACTTTAATTATGCAGACTTAACCACATACTTAATGCCCCTTAATGTCACATCATAATAATATAAAAATGCAGTATTACTATGTACGATATTACAGTGTAAATCTGTCTCCATGCTTACCAGACCCAATTAGTTTGGTTTTAAATCCTGCTTTGCTCCACACTAGGTGATGACGCAATGCCCCCATTCCAGCTGTCTTAGCTGGGGAGCTATTCCAGCCCTATCCCCTGCTGTCACTGTGGCCTGTTTTAGTAGCTCCACTGCTGTTACATATTCACTGCAATATCTGCTGTCCAGTGGTGTAAAGTTCTTAAGTAAAAATACTACTTAAGTCGTTTTTCTGGGGTATCTGTACTTAACTATTGATATATTTTTAAACTCTTTACTTCACTACATTTCCCCTGAGATCCAAAAGTACTCGTTACATTTTGAATGCTTAGCAGGACATGAAAATGGTCCAATTCAGACACTTATCAATATCCCTGGTCATCCCTACTGCCTCTAATCAGGCGGACTCACTAAACACACATGCTTCATTTGTAAATTATATTTGACTTTTGATACTTAAATCCAAATACTTTTAGACTTTTACTTAAGTAGTATTTTACTGGGTGACTTTTACTTGAGTCATTTTCTAATAAGATATCTTTACTCAAGTATGACAGTTGGGAACTTTTTCCACCACTGGGACTGTCACTATGACAAGGCAGTCGGTCCAGTTTGTGAGCCGTTGTCCTGTATTTCCACCATATTCCCTTTAAACTCTGGGTACTAGTTATAAGCTACTTATGAGTGCAACGACATTGTATGAGCTTATTTACTGACAGTGTGTTTCTGTAGGTGCTTAGTGAGCTGTTCTCGTCAGTGTTTGAGAAGGACGGTCAGCCCACTCCCCTACATCCCCAACAGGGTGGTCCCTCCACTCGCCTCAAGCCCACCACCCTGCTCAGCTCTCTACACCCCCTCACCACCCCTAAGAGGCCTGGCTGCTCCTCACAGGTCAGTACACACACACACACTTACTTACGCCCCCACACACCTACTTCTCCTAGTAACTCCTCTCTTCTCCTCTCCAGGACCCAGCGTTCAGTGTGAGTAAGAGTTCTCCTTGCGAGGGTCCCTCCGACTTCTCCAAACACCACCTGTCCCCCAGCAGTGAAGCTGTGAAGCCTCTGCTAGAAGACGTCAAGAGTCTGGCCAGTGTCCTGGCTGCCCTGCCTGCCCCCCCAGGAGGCCTCAAGAGGAGACATAGTGGGGACAGCCCAGCCTTTAAACCCCCCTCCAAACTGCCCAGACCAGATCAAGCCTGCTCCTCCTCTCACCCTCCTGCTACCTCCCCCGGGGGGAGGACGGTGGCTGCAGACCTGCTCGACAGTAGAGATATGGAGTGCTCCCTCTGTATGAGGTAAGAGGACCACCAACCACCACACAATTATACATTTACAATTAGCCACTCAGTGTTAGATTTTCAGTCAATACTGACAATTACTTCAACTGTTAAAGCTTATGTTATTGTGTTTCCTCCAGGCTGTTCTATGAGCCCGTCGCCACCCCCTGTGGACACACCTTCTGCCTCAAGTGTCTGGAGCGCTGTCTGGACCACAACCCCAATTGCCCTCTCTGCAAAGAGAACCTCTCAGAGGTAAACACACACAGGAAGTAGCTGTACTCTATATGTGGATAGATGGCTTCGGGCAGACCTGGTGATTATGAAAAATGATGGCTTAGGGCTGTCTGAAATACAATATAATCTCTGTTCTGTGTTTGTTGAGTGTGACTGAGGGATGGTTTAGCGTGACAAAAACAAAGTTAGCACAAAGCTTCCTCCGACACAGGGAGTGAAGTAGGATATTGGGACAATAAATAATTAAAGGAGAATTCACAAAAGACATGGATGATCCAGTAGAATGTGAATGTAACGTCCTATTCCTCTGTGTTCTGTATAATACCAGTATCTGGCCACTAGAGGGTACAACAAGACCCTGCTGATGGAGGAGGTGCTGCAGCGTTACCTGGGAGACGAGCTGGTGGAGAGGAAGAAAATCCACGAGGAGGAGATGAAGGAACTGTCTAAGTGAGTCTCTCTCACACTCACACACACACATTAGCACACAAACACAGATTTGATCACTTTACTAAGCCATTGATTTTATGGTAAATTAATTGCGTAGTAGCAATGTCAGTGAGTTAACTGCACTTCAACAGTCCTGCTTTTTAGCTAATCGCTGACCAATATCGTATCCCTCCTTACACCCTAGCTTGAACCAGGAAGTTCCGATCTTTGTGTGCACCATGGCCTTCCCCACCATCCCCTGTCCGCTGCATGTCTTCGAACCGTGCTACCGCCTCATGATTCGTCGCTCCATGGAGACCGGAACCAAACAGTTTGGCATGTGCATCGCTGACGAGTTGAAGGGTTTCGCTGACTATGGCTGCATGCTGGAGGTCCGGGACGTAAAGTTCTTCCCCGATGGGAGGTCTGTGGTCGACACCATCGGAGTGTCCCGCTTCAAAGTGCTGAGCCACGGCCAGAGAGACGGATACAACACGGCCAAGATAGAGTACCTGGAGGATAAGAAGGTGTGTGTGTTAGGGTTGGTGTGTGCTGGCTAATGCTGTGTGTGAGGAATGTTTTGCATGTATGTGGATACAAAGAGTGCATTAGAGATATTTGGATAGATCTAGATAGATATTCATATCCTCACTTTTGTACGTTTGGTGTGTATGTGTTTGGTGTGTGTATGATTAGAGTGTGTGTATGTGATCCTTAGTCTTCCATCCCAACCGTGTGTTCCATTGTGTGTGTGTACTGTGTGTGCTGACAGTATTATATATTGTCTGGTCAGGTGGAGGGCCAGGAGCTAGCAGAGCTGCAGAAGCTTTATGTCTCTGTGTACGACCAGGCCAGCGGCTGGTTCACCTCCCTCAAAGACAACATGAAGAGCCAGATAATCAGCCACTTTGGACACCTGCCTGGGAAGGACCCTGACCCACAGGTACGACACTAACCTAACCATCACACATGCACTTCTCTCCTGGTGAGAATCACACTCGTATGTCATTGAATGTGCTGCGTTTATCAAGCTCTTTCCCTCCCCTCCCCTCCTTTCTCTTTTTCTTTCTCTCTTTCTCCCCCCCCAGGGTAATCCCAGTGGTCCAGCGTGGGCTTGGTGGCTGTTGGCTGTACTGCCTCTGGACAACCGTGCCCAGCTCACCATCCTGGCCATGCCCTCCCTCAAGGACCGCCTCATCGCCATCCGCAGGGTCCTTATCTTCGTCACGCGCAAGAGACCCCGATGACCGCTCAACCGCCACCACAACCGCTAGGACCATGCATGGTCATTCACTCGTTCATTAACCCCACTCATCAGCTTTGATATGAGGGCAATGCCTTTGACTCCCTTACAAACGTAGCTCTCTGAATCTGTAGAAGACATTGGGTTTGACTGTAGGGGGTGGGATAGGGAGGTCATCGGTTCTGGCTGTCCATCCATCCACCCTCCTACCTATCCATCTCCAGTTCAGCTGTGTCCGCTGTCACGGTCTGTCACAAGAACTCACAGGAACTATGAACTTTGTCATGCTATCTCTCAGCTTCCTCTGTCCCCGCTCTCTGGGAGGGAATAAGAGAGCGCGATAATTAAACTGGTGACTGTCATGATGCACCAGAACTAAGCTGACCACATAACTGTGTCGAGTCCATGATGGTGTGACTTATCCATTTTTCTTCACATTGTACATTTTAATATACAACAAATATTTTAGAAAGACCTGACACGTACCAAAAAATATTTTGTATGACTGAAAAATAACACAATACCGAATGTATTGGGTTGTCTTTAGTTTGGATTTCGTTATGTTTCTGTTCAATCCCTGCCGACTATGGTGAGAGACACATGTAAGACCCAGAGAGATAGAAACCACCAAATGGAGTAGAAGGTGTACATATGTACACCTTCTGTAAGTCGCTCTGGATAAGAGCGTCTGCTAAATGACTAAAATAAAATAAAAATAAAAAATATGAGAATGTGCTCCTGTTTAAATGGCTACTTCTCACTCATTTCTACATGACTACGGAAATAGATGCAAAGCCTGAAGCTATGCATCTTGCCCAGGCATATGCATGTGCCTCAATAGTGGTAGTAGTGCATCTGAAAGAAATTCAAAAGAATAATGAAATTGGTATGTAGATGGAAGAGATTTGTGGTTCAAGTCAATTATCGGTACACATAATCTACATTTTACTGTTTTATTTTCAGTAAAATACATTAAAACAATTTCCCCACTAACTTGACATAGTTTGATTACTTTTTTTATATTTTTTTTATTTAACCTTTATTTAACCAGGTAAGCCAGTTGAAAACAAGTTCTCATTTACAACTGCAACCTGGCCAAGATAAAGCAAAGCAGTGCGATTAAAAACAACAACACAGAGTTACATATGGGGTAAAACAAAACATAAAGTCAAAAATACAACAGAAAATATATATACAGTGTGTGCAAATGTAGCAAGTTATGGAGGTAAGGCAATAAATAGGCCATAGTGCAAAATAATTACAATTAGTGTTAACACTGGAATGATAGATGTGCAAGAGATGATGTGCAAATAGAGATACTGGGGTGCAAATGAGCAAATAAATAACAATATGGGGATGAGGTAGTTGGGTGGGCTAATTTCAGATGGGCTGTGTACAGGTGCAGTGATCGGTAAGGTGATCTGACAACTGATGCTTAAAGTTAGTGAGGGAGATAAGAGTCTCCAGCTTCAGAGATTTTTGCAGTTCGTTCAGTCATTAGCAGCAGAGAACTGGAAGGACTGGCGGCCAAAGGAGGTGTTGGCTTTGGGGATGACCAGTGAGATATACCTGCTGGAGTGCATACTACGGGGTGGGTGTTGCTATGGTGACCAATGAGCTAAGATAAGGCGGGGATTTGCCTAGCAGTGATTTATAGATGACCTGGAGCCAGTGGGTTTGGCGACGAAAATGTAGTGAGGGCCAGCCAACGAGCGTACAGGTCACAATGGTGGGTAGTAAATGGGGCTTTGGTGACAAAACGGATGGCACTGTGATAGACTACATCCAATTTGCTGAGTGTTGGAGGCTTATTTGTAAATGACATCGCCGAAGTCAAGGATCGGTAGGATAGTCCGTTTTACGAGGGCATGTTTGGCAGCATGAGTGAAGGAGGCTTTGTTGCGAAATAGGAAGCCGATTCTAGATTTAACTTTGGATTGGAGATGCTTAATGTGAGTCTGGAAGGAGAGTTTACAGTCTAACCAGACACCTAGGTATTTGTAGTTGTCCACATACTCTAGGTCAGACCCGTCGAGAGTAGTGATTCTAGTCGGGTGGGCGGGAGCCAGCAGCGTTCGGTTGAAGAGCATGCATTTAGTTTTACTTGTGTTAAAGAGCAGTTGGAGGCTACGGAAGGAGTGTTGTATGGCATTGAAGCTCGTTTGGAGGTTTGTTAACACAGTGTCGAATGAAGGGCCAGATGTATACAAAATGGTGTCGTCTACGTAGAGGTGGATCTGAGAATCACCAGCAGCAAGAGCGACATCATTGATATACACAGAGAAAAGAGTCGGCCCAAGAATTGAACCCTGTGGCACCGCCATAGACTGCCCTCCGATTTGACACATTGAACTCTATCTGAGAAGTAGTTGGTGAACCAGGCGAGGCAGTCATTTGAGAAACCAAGGCTATTTAGTCTGCCAATATGAATGTGGTGGTTGACAGAGTCGAAAGCCTTGGCCAGGTCGATGAAGACGGCTGCACAGTACTGTCTATTATCGATCGCGGTTATAATATCGTTTAGATTAACATTACATGTTAATAAACAATGATAGTCCAAAACAACAATGATAATGTATGTACTGTAAGTGTCTCTGGGGAGGAAATGGGGGTAAACTATTCTGTTTCATGTCTTGTTTCTCTTCTGCTATGCCCTTAAATGTATATTATGTATGGTCAATATAAATTGGACGATTTAACTGTGTGATTATCAATGTTAACTCTCTGAGGCCTTTACAATGTCTTATTTAAGTGTAACTATTTAGTTGTTTCTCCTTGATCTGTATGACACGTGTAGCTCCTGTTTGGGTGGTGTTATGACTTGCTGCATTTGCCTATGTATATTTGTAAAAGGAGATATAGCAACAACAACAAAATCTGGAATAAGATGCCTGAGATGTTTAGTTTCTGATTGTTTTCCTTGAAGTGGTCAGAAAGAAAGATGAACTATCGTCATCATTGTGATGTGACACTACATGGCCAAAAGTATGTGGACACCTGCGTGTCGAACAACTCATTCCAAAATCATGGGCATTAATATGGAGTTGGTCCCCCCCTTTGCTGCTATAACATTCTCCACTCTTCTGGGAAGGCTTTCCACTAGACGTTGGATTATTACTGCGGGGACTTGCTTCCGTTTAGCCACAAGCATTAGTGAGGTCGGGCACTGATGTTGGGTGATTAGGCGTGGCTCGCAGTCAACGTTCCAATTCATCCCAAAGGTGTTCGATGGGGTTGAGGTCAGGGCTTTGTGCAGGCCAGTCAAGTTCTTCCACACCGATCTCGACAAACCATTTCTGTATGGACCTCGCTTTCTGCACGGGGACATTGTCATGCTGAAACAGGAAAGGGCCTTCCCCAAATTGTTGCCACAAAGTTGGAAGCACAGAATTGTCTAGAATGTCATTGTATGCTTTAGCGTAAATATTTCCCTTCACTGGAACTAAGGGGCCTAGCCCGAACTATGAAAAACAGCCCCAGACCATTATTCCTCCTCCACCAAACTCTATAGTTGGCACTATGCATTCGGGCAGGTAGCGTTCTCCTGGCATCCGCCAAACCCAGATTTGTCCGTTGGACTGCCAGATGAAGCGTGATCCATCACACCAGAGAACGCGTTTCCACTGCTCCAGAGTCCAATGACTGCGAGCTTTACAACACTAGCCGACGCTTGGCATTGTGCATGGTGATCCTAGGCTTGTGTGCGGCTGCTCGGCCATGGAAACCCATTTCATGAAGCTCCCGACGAACAGTTCTTATGCTGACGTTACTTCCAGAGGCAGTTTGGAACTCTGTAGTGAGTGTTGTAACCGAGGACAGATGATTTTTACGCGCTTCAGCACTCGGCGGTCTCGTTTTGTAAGCTTGTGTGGCCTACCACTTTGGGGCTGAGCCGTTCTTGCTCCTAGACGTTTCCACTTCACAATAACCACACTTACGTGTAACCAGGGCAGTTGTAGGTGACCTGCTGACTTGTTGGAAAGGTGGCATCTTGAAAGTCACTGAGCTCTTCAGTAAGGCCATTCTACTGCCAATGTATGTCTTTGGAGATTGCATGGCTGTGTGCTGGATTTTATACACCTGTCAGCAACGGGTATGGCTGAAATAGCTGAATCTACTAATTTGAAGAGGTGTCCACATACTTTTGTATATATATACAGTGGCTGGCGAAAGTATTCACCTCCCTTGGCATTTTTCCTATTTTGTTGCCTTACAACCTGGAATTAAAATGGATTTTTTGGGGGGTTTGTATCATTTGGTTTACACATGCCTACCACTCTGAAGATGCAAAATATTTTTTGGGGTCAAACAAACAAGAAATAAGACAAAAAAACTGAACTTGAGTGTGCATAACTATTCACCCCGCCAAAATCAATACTTTGTAGAGCCACCTTTTGCAGCAATTACAGCTACAAGTCTCTTGGGATATGTCTCTATAAGCTTGGCACATCTAGCCACTGGGATTTTTGCCCATTCTTCAAGGCAAAACTGCTCCAGCTCCTTCAAGTTGGATGGGTTCCACTGGTGTACAGCAATCTTTAAGTCATACCACAGATTCTCAATTGGATTGAGGTCTGGGCTTTGACTAGGCCATTCCAAGACATTTAAATGTTTCCCCTTAAACCACTCGAGTGTTGCTTTAGCAGTATGCTTAGGGTCATTGTCCTGCTGGAAGGTGAACGTCCGTCCCAGTCTCAAATCTCTGGAAGACTGAAACAGGTTTCCCTCAAGAATTTCCCTGTATTTAGGGCCATCCATCATTCCTTCAATTCTGACCAGTTTCCCAGTCCCTGCCGATGGAAAAACATCCCCCACAGCATGATGCTGCCACCACCATGCTTCACTGTGGGGATGGTGTTTTCGGGGTGATGAGAGGTGTTGGGTTTGCGCCAGACATAGCGTTTTCCTTGATGGCCAAAAAGCTCAATTTTAGTCTCATCTGACCAGAGTACCTTCTTCCATATGTTTGGGGAGTCTCCCACATGCCTTTTGGCGAACACCAAA